AATCTGAATGCTATGAGTGATTACTTGTTTAGTAGCTTGTTATAGGCAAATCATTTAAGTTTCAACTTCCCACAGTTGGTTTCCTTGTTGTCCTTGTGGGTATCTGCAGTGGAATACTGAAATTGCATCTACATAGCACTAGTCATGATACCGTGAAAAAAAAGGGTGTTAGCATTGAGTAGGTTACCAAGATGAGTTCCCGGGAGCTTACTCTGAAGAAGGGGATGAGATAACTCTTGCCATGTACTAAAGAGGTGGATATTTTCCAGACAACATCCTAGGGAGTCCAAGTGTAAGTTCCTTTAGACTCTAAGGTTTAGAGGGACTGTATTTGAGCTAGGGCTCAGAGCTTTAGGATTTTGTGAGCTCAGCTGTGTTGTACCCCGTGGATTCACTGGCATGAAAAATCATTTTGGAGTGTGTCTTTAGGGACAACATCAAAGTTCTCAAGAGAATCTGCAAGGCCTGATACTGGATTGAACGTAGACTTTTTTTTTCTTCCAGTTTGGGCCAACTGGAATAGATCTGGGGACCTTAAAGAATGAGTTTACAGCCATCTTTGCCATTTGTCTAGTGCTTTGAACTATTCAGAGGTTTTAGAGGCAGGTAGACCTGGCATTACTAGTTGAATGGCCATAGGCACATTACTGTTCATCTAAGGCTATGATTCCTCAACTGTAGAATGAACATAACGAAACTTGCGGTGATTCCCCCTGCCTCTGCCTTCCAAGTGCTGGGATTACAGGAGTGTGCAATCATGCCCAGTTTGTAACAAATCTGAACTCATGAGGATCTCTCAGCTTCAGTAATTTTCTAACCAATTTCAATAGTTTATCTTGCAATCAAACATAAGGCATTTCCCCCTACTGTTGTTTTTGTGTATAAAGAGGTCTTTAAACTTTTTTTTAAATATGAGAAAGAGGAAGGGATAGGAATCTTTTAATTCTAGACAGACAATATCATTCTCTGATAGATTTTTTTTTTTGAAATTGGCTTCCACTCCGTGCCTTTAATTAAATCAGTGAAGGCCAAGATCAGCCCAACTTGTGTGATGAAAGATGGCTGACCCTGGCACTCGTGATTGCAGCCAGCCTTTTGACATGAAGAGTTCCTGAATCGCAGTTATAAAATTACATTTGAAAAATGACATCACTGGAGAGTTTTAGAAAGGGCAATAGCAAATAACAAACACTTTTTTTTTCAAATGGAAATATTTGATCTTTGGTAATCAATAACTTTATTTTCTAACTGGAAAAGGAGGGTTACTGAAGATGAATCACACCTGAGATTTTTTCATACCTATTTTGAACAGAACCAATGCATAGGAGAGACAGGTGTTTCACTATTGGTATGAACCAACAAATGCTTTAAAAACACTGGTTTGGAGTAATGCTTTTGCCCTTTCAGATGTAGTGTGTATGAAGAAAACTGTGTCACTTGCTGCTATTATTGTAAGAGTCTTGGAGTTAAAGGTGTGCCTGTAAGTTTTAATTGTGAGCACACCTATTTGGGACTGAGCATGCCAATTTAAAGAGACCCAGTGTACCTTATATCTGCATCCAATGATAAAATTACTACACTAACATGTGCTTGTTTTTAAACTTGTGCTTTAATGTTGTCCCCAGGATGGGTAGGCAATGAATCTGGAGATATTTTGCTATTTGAAAGAGTGTATCATAAATCTTTTTACATCTCTGTATTCTCTCTCTCTCTCTCTCTCTCTCCCTCTCTCTCAGGTGTATGCCTCCCCATCCCCTGACTCTGTCTCTATTTTTCTCTCTAGATTTTTAAACATTGGTTTCTCTTGGAAGAAATACAACTAGTGGTTTATTTGCTTGGCTTCAGTACAGTTTATCAATAGGCCAATGTTTCCCATCCTTGAAATGTCAGGCTGACTTGATCCATGTGTTCTGTCTGATATGTCTGCCACGGGAGAGCTATAGCTCGACTGAGCCTTCCATCATTTAGTTCTTCAGTCATTTAGTCAACTAACTGAGCCACTAATCTCATTGGCTATTTTAATAGGCATACTGATGGTCAAATGGATGTCTGATCCCTCCCCCTAGTCTCTGTACTGCCATGTGGGAACTACAGTGGACTTGTATTCTCTCCTGGAAATGTTAAGTTCAACTACTCGAGATGGACCTGAAACCACAATACTCACTTCCATTTAGCCACCATGAACCCCAGGTCAAACACAATGACATGGATTCTTTCAGGACTTAGATGAGTGAGTTTGTGCTATCTACAAGGCCAGCTGAAGCTTAAATCTCTCTTGAACTGATATGTTTATGCAAATATCAAAAGCTTGTTCCCCTATCAGGGACTTTACACATACTATTTTCTCTGTCTAGAATGTTATTCCCTATATATCTACTTGGTTTGCTCTTACTTCCTTGGCACATTGGCTTAAATGTTACTCTTAACTGTGGTTAATTACCTTTGTAACGTGTCTTTTCACCTTGTTTATTTTCTCTATAACATGTTACCATCTCTTATACTAGATGTTTTCCTTATTTATTGGTTTATTGTTTTGTTTTTCTAATCTAGACTGGATCTGCATAGGGAAAGAACACCATTTGCTTTTTTCTTCTGTATTCACAGTGCCTAGAATAATGTGTAGCATACAATAAGTATTTATTGGCTGAATAAATGGATTTCACATGGGCTTATGAATTGATGGTGAGTCTAACTGACCTAGGCACACTCTGAGGAGGAAAGAATCTCTTCTGTCTTCCACTTCTTATTATAGGCACAAGAGGTAAAGCATACACAAAGAAATCTGGCAGAAGGACATCTAATTTATATAAGTTCATTTACAGTTTACAAATTTTTGTGCAATCTGAAAAATAAATACAGTTAGAAGCATTCTTAAAAGTTATTATAAACAAACCTATTAGGAGTAAGTTGATTTTCCATTTAAAGCTCCCAAATTCTCTCTTTATAGTTTGTTGATAATGTTTTATTTTATTTTGTGTTTATTTTTGGATACCTTTTATTTATTTGTTAATGGGGCTGGGGAGATGGCTCAGTGGTTAAGAGCATGAGGTGCTTTTCCAGAGGCCCTGAGTTTTATTCCCAGCAAGTATATCTGATATGCTCTTCTGGCCTCCATGGACATTAGGAACTCTCATGGTGCAGCTGACCATACATGTAGACAAAACATCCATACACACAAAATAAATAAATAAAAACTTATTTGTTGACAATTCTATGCATGTATATGATGTGTCTTGATAATACCCATACTAACTCCTCACCACCATGCCCCCTGGATAGTCCCCAGTGCATCCCCCTCTCATTTTCATGTCCTCCCCTTTTTCATTCTTTTCTTTTTGATAGCCCACTGAATCCAGTTAGCTGCCACTTGCTGGAATTCTTGCCAGTCTTGTTGTGTCTTGTGCATGGTTTCTGTCAGTTTGAGTTCAATGGGTATGCCTCGTCTAGAACATTTCACAGCACCCCTCTACTCTCTCTGGCTTTTACATTCTTTTAGTTCCCTCTTCTATGATGTTCCCTGCGCTTTGGGGGAAAGGTTGATATAAATGTCCCCCATTTGGGTTTGAATATTCAATATTCTCTTGTTCTCACCAATGGGACCAGTTATGAATCTCTGCATTGCTACCCAGTGCAGAAAAGAGGCTGAGAGTAGCACTAATCTATGGGTAAAAATGGAAATATTCAGAAGGCAGTCTAACGCGTCCATTCAGAAAAATAATAGTAGTAGTTTCCATATTATGACCTATGACCTATCAGCCACGAGCCATGAGCCATGGACTTTTGGCTAGGTTTACTGTATCAGTCCTCAATTCCCTCCTATGGAGTAGGACTCAAATCTTATCAGAAAAGTATCTGGTTGCTCGGTAACCTTTGTGCCACTATTGCATCTGTGGGCCCATCTTGTCTGGCAGGTTGATATTGTAGCCTTCAGGGTCCAGGTCTAGGTAAGACTGTTTATATGCCCTTCCCACCCCACAGTAGTCTGAATACCTCCTCTCAGCACTATGAAAGTTAGCCAGCCAGAAAGAAGTTCTCAGTGCAGTTCTAGCTTGATTTCTCTGCCCTGTAATCAAAGCATGTTGTATTTTCAGCAATAGAGCTTTACCATGTGGTTAAGGTGGGCAACTTAAAGCCTGTGTTACTTTGTGGACCTCTGTAGGCTCCTTGACTAATACTTTGTAGGAACAGATCCCATGCCTGGCACTGAGATTTCTCATTTAAAACCCATGTGTTCTGTGGCAAGCATTTTGTCAATGTAAACCTATCTTTAGCTTATGATTTCTAAAAATATGACTTTTGTAATTAAAAAATTCACCCCACAGCTGAATGGCCACTCTTCTATGGAGTTATTTTATCCCAATGAAGTCTATAATAAATGCCTAATGTTTAGCTCTGATCCTAAAAGATCTCACAATAGTAAGGACAGAAAAATGTCAATTTCTTCACCTGTCATATTCATGGCATAACTAGGTGCTTGAAAGGCTTGCAGCAGCTTCAGCTCAAGAGAACAATGAACAAATAAAACTTGGAACAAGCTGGAAATGTATATCAAACCAGTACTTAACACACAGGTCCACAGAGAGGAGGTCTTAGAGGGAGGAAGAGAATCATGTGTGTGGAGCAGGCTCTTGATTCATAAACACAAAAGGTTGTTTGGCTTCAAGCTTTACTTTGAAGATGACCTGGAGTAAAAAAAGGTATATTAATTAATTCACCTCTAAACACACTCTTTCTTTTGTTGCAACCAGACTTATTAAACTTAGTAAATGTAGGAAAGCATGGAAAAGGTGAGCTCGCATGCCTGCTACTATTCAAGAAAGACTGGAATGAGCTAGCCTCAAAGATGTTTCAACAGGGAAATCAGATCAACTGGAAAGGTACCAGATTGATATATGTGAAAAATTCAACTACT